ATTAGTGATTGTATATTGATTTTAGGGTGGGTTACTTGGAGAGTTTAACTCCATTTAACCTCCTTTGTTGATACATTCATTTTATATTTTTTCAGTAGGGAAAAAGGGGTGGCATTTAGCAATGCTTGAGGGTGTGACTAGTAATTGGGCCAGAATTGGGCCTAGGCAAAATTTTGCATATTAGACTCATTTTGCTCCTAATTTTTCATAGATTTGATTTAGCTAGGTCTCATCATCATATGATGAACCTAAACTAAACCAAATCAAAGAATTTCAAAATAAATCATGGAGCATTTTGGAGCCTTGACCGCCTAGCTTGTGTCTTAGTTCTTGGCCAAAATTGACTAGTTCTTTCTTCAAGTTTTGAAGCTTGCCTTCCAAGTTTCTAAACCTTGGTAGGTTAGGCTGACCTTACCATAGTTCTTAAGTGAACCATGGTCAAGGTTAGCTTCTCCTACAAGTTTTATAAACCATGGAAGGTTAGCTACACCTTACCATGGTTCCTAGTGAACCATGGTTAAGGTTGGCTTCTCCTAGAAGCTACCTCTCCCTATAATTTCGTTTTCTCTTCACTTGTAATCACTTTTGGACATTTATGAGAATTAGAAATCAAATTTCTCTCTCATTTTCAAGAGTCAATTTCGTGAGAAACCTCCTCCTAGGTTCTCTCTCAAGGTTCCTTCTCCTAGAAGCTTGGTTTCTCAAGCTTCTTCACTTTTTCAAGAGGTAACCGAACCTCTCTTAGGTGCTTCTCCACCGTTGGAGAATCCTCCAAGGTGATTCCGCCACCTTCAAGGAGTTCAACCTCATGGAGCATTTCGGTCCTTGCATGGAAAGCTTGGAAGAATATCAATCCTCTCCAAGTACTTCCATCACTAGTTGTCTTGCAGGTGCCAGACAGACTAGGAGTGCCCCGAGGGGTGATAAATCTACTGCAGCTGGGAGGGTGTTTTCCTTGACCAGAGCCGAAGCTTCCACTTCATCTGATCTAGTGAAAGGGAAGGGTAAAGCTACTGGTAAGGATGTGATGATATTATTTGACTCAAGTCCTCCCATTTATTTATTTCATATGCATGTGCTGAAAAGTGGGGTTTACCTGTATGTAATTCGGGGTTGAGACTGCTTGTGTCTATGCCCGCTTCTATTTCTATTATTGCCTATGAGATGTGTGTTGGTTATCCCTTGGAGATGTGTGATAGGAAGTATAAGGTGAAATTGATCTGTTTGCCTTTAGTGGATATTGACATAATCTTAGGGATGGATTTGTTATTTGCCAATCACATTCTTATAGATTGTGCCAATATGGAGTTGGTTTTTCCCTTAGGGGGAGGATGAATTGTTTATTTCAACCAGCCAAGCTGAAGTGATGTTAAGAGATGGAGCAGAGTGTTGTATTTTTTTTGCTGCTGTAAGTGTGAAAACTGAGAAGGTGATTAATAGGTAGGAGTTATGAGGAAATTTTTGAAGGTGTTTTTGGATGAGGTGTCTGGGTTACCTCCTACTAGGGAGATTGAGATTAGCATTTATTTGGTCCCTGGTGTAGGGGCAGTGTTGGTTGCTCCCTATAAGATGGCCTCAACAGAGTTGGTTGAATTAAAATGTTAGGTGAAAGAGTTGAAGAGAAAGATTGATTACTTCTCCTATGTTGATGTTGCCTAATCCTAGTGACTCATTTGAGGTGTGTTGTGATGTTTCTCACCAAGGGTTGGGGTGTGTGTTGATGTAGAATAGGAGAGTAGTTGCATATGCTTTAAGGAAATTAAAGAATCATGATAGGAATTACCCTACTCATGACTTAGAGTTGGTAGCAGTTGTTTTGCCTTAAAGGTATGGATGCACTATTTTATAGTGTAGGGTTCAACGTCTTTGGTGATTACAAGAGTCTGAAGTATTTGCTTGATCAGAAGGAGTTGAACATGAGACAGAGATGGTGGATGGAATATTTTAAAAGACTATGAATTTCAGTTGATGTATCACCCTAGGAAGGCCAATGTAGTGGCAGACGCTTTGAGTAGGAAGTCCATCCACATGTCTAGTTTGATGGTAAAGGAGTTGGAGTTGGTTGAGAAATTTAGAGATTTGAATCTGTATGTGGAGTTGGCTCAAGACCACATTAGCTGGGGCATGACTACCATTGCTAGTGAGTTCTTGTAGCAAGTTGGTATGAAGTAGTTGTAAGATTTGAAAGTTGTGAAGGTTCTTAATTTGTTGGATACAGAGAAAGCATTTGGCTTTGAGATGAGTGAAGATGGGATTTGAGGTTTAAGGGCAGAATTTGCCTACCTCAAGATTATGAGTGTAGAGAGACATTGTTGAATATATGGTGGCATGTCTGACCTATCAGAAGGCTAAGGTTGGGCACTAGAAGTCTTGTGATTTAATTGTAGATGATGGAGATCCTGTAGTGGAAGTTGGATAGTATCAATATGGATTTCATTGATGGATTGCCTAAGTTGACTAGGAATAGTAATGCTATTTGAGTTATGGTTGAAAGATTGACTAAGTGTGCACATTTCTTGCCTGTCAATATCAAGTGATCCTTGGAGAAGTTGACACAACTATATGTGAAAGAAATAGTATGGTTGCACGGGGTGCCTTCCAGTATTATTTCAGATAGGGATCTGAGGTTCACTTCCAGATTTTTGGCAGAGTCTACACCAAGCCTTAGGCACGAGGTTGAGGTTGAGTTCTGCTTATCATCCACAGACAGATGATCAGTCAGAGAGGACAATGTAGTCCTTGGAGGATTTATTGAGGGCTTGTGTGCTAGACTACTTGGGGAGTTGGGAGGAAGTCTTACTACTAGTAGAGTTCATTTCTATCAATAGCTTTCATGCTAGTATCGGGATGGCACCGTTTGAAGCCCTGTATGGTAAGAGGTGTAGGACTCCACTATGTTGGTACCAAGATAGTGAATCAGTGGTTGTGGGGCCGGAGTTAGTCCTACAGACTATTGAGAAAATAAAGTTGATTCAAGAGAGGATGAGGTTTGCCTAGAGTAGGTAGAAATCAAAAGTTGATAGAAGGCAATATGCCTTTGGAGTTTTCTGGAGAGGGGCATGTGTTTCACGTTTCACAATTGAGGAAGTATGTCCATGACCCGAGTCATGTAGTTGAGATGGGTGAGATTCAGGTCAAGGAGAAACCTGACTTATGAGAAGAGACCGATAGCTGTGATTGATTACAAGTTGAAGGAGTTGAGGGGAAAGTCCACTGGATTGGTGAAGATCTTGTGGGTTGCAACTACTGGTGAGACTACTTGGGAGATTGAGCAACTGTATAGAGAGTAGTATCTTTTCCTACTTCCAAGTAAATATATTTTCAAGGACGAAAATTCTTATTTGTTGGGGGGTATTGTAAAGTAGTTAGTAGACTGGAACGGGACGTTCCAAGATTGGAACGGGCTGTTTCAAACTACTAAAATAAGGGTGATTTAGTAGCCTAGAACGGGTCATTCCCAAACTGGAACGGGTCATTCCAAACTACTAAATAGACCTGTGAATCTTGGACTAGAACGGGCCGTTCCAAAATGGTCATTGTGAGTTAGATTCAACTTCAGAACGGGCCGTTCTCTTATCCATGAGTCTTTGGTAAGTAGCTCTTGCATTTTTGTCTGAAAGGCATGACACGGTAACAGTAATTGGTTTGTTCCTTTAAGAATGCAATATTCTCTTCATCTGGGGGGTACATCAAGATCTGATTGTAACTTGAGTAGGCATCAAGAAAATTGAGCATGGCATACCTGGAAGCTCCATCGACCAATCTATCAATGTTGGGGAGTGAATATGCATCTTTTGGGACGACTTTATTCAAGTCTGTATAATCAACACACATACGCCATTTACCACTTGATTTTTTAACCATAAAAACATTGGTTAACTAAGTGGTATATTTGATTTCCCTGATGAGTTTTGCATTCAAGAGTTTTTGTGTCTCGATTTTTACAGCTTCTCTCCTTTCACCATTGATTTTTCTTTGCTTTTGTGATACAAGTTTTGCCTCCCTATGCATTGCCAATTTATGACAAATGAAGTTGGGTTCTATCCTAAGCATATCTGCACTGCATCATGTAAAAAGATCAGCATTTTCAATTAGGATCAACATAATTTTACATTGAATATCAACTTCAATATATTTTCCAATCTTGGTGCACTAATTCGATTCTTTGCCGATCTGGAACTCAAATAACTCGTCAACGAGATTTGGCTGGCGATCATGCATATCAACTCGGGGATCCAAGTCGGCCGATGCATCTACATCGATGTGAGCCATGATTGTAGAAGGCGGCATCTCTGGTCAAAGTTTGGTTGGATTGATCTTCAAACTCTCAGCATAACATCTCCTTACTATTTGTTGGTTGGCTTTAATGGTCATTATGTGCCCATTTATACTTGGAAATTTCATAGTTAGGTGAGGTGTTGATACAAATGCTCCTAATTGATTCAACGTCGGTCTCCCAATGAGGATACTGTATGAGGTAACAACATCCACCAATAGATATTTCACCAACACTCTTCTTGAACTTTGCGTTGTACCAAAAGGGTTAATAACTCAATGAAACCATGAGTATGGACTTGCTCACCTGTGAAGCCAACTAAGGGCACCGAGAATGGTTTTCATAAGGGATATCAAGTTTTAGGAAAGTTGGTCAGTATAGAACATCGATAGAGCTCCACTGATCAATTAATGTCTTCTACACTTCCCAGTTTGCAACCTCCACTAAGATGACCATGGGGTCGTCTTGGTTTACATTATCCCTTCAAAGTCATCAAACAATAGGAAGGGTTGGTGTTTCAAGTTTCGGAACAGAATTGCCAAGGTTATTAATGTTATGGACATTACGCAGATGTCACTTCTTGGCAGAGTTGGAACTTCCTCCTCCGACAAAACCTCCAACAGTAGTATTGATGACTGCACATATATTTTTTCCTTCTAAGTCTTTATCTACACGTTGCTGGTCAGCATTCACTACAAGAAAAACTGTTATTATCTACGGAATATTACTTACACAATTTTTTCCGTAGATAACATTTAGTTATTTATGGAATATTATCTACGGAATTTTTTTCGTAGATAATGTTTAGTTATCTACGGAATATTACCTACGGAATTTTTTCCTTAGATAATTTTTAGTTATTTACGAAATATTACCTACAAATTTTTTTCCATAGATAATGTTTAATTATCTATGGAATATTACCTACGAAATTTTTTCTGTAGATAATGTTTAGTTATCTACGAATAAAATCCGTAGATAATAACTTTCGTGGGTTATCTATGGAAAACTTTATGTAGAAAACAACTGTCGTGGGTTATCTACGAAAAACTATCCGTAGATAACAACTTTCGTGGGTTATCTACAGAAAACTTTCCGTAGATAACGTTATCTACGGATAAACTTCCCGTAGATAACAACTTTCATGGGTTATCTGCGGAAAACTTTCTGTAGATAACGTTATCTACGAACTTTTCGTAGATAACGTTATCTACGTATTTTTCGTAAATAACGTTATCTACAAATTTTTTGTAGATAACGTTATCTATGGATTTTTCGTAGATAACCTTGGCAAAATGTATGACAAAAAATTTTATGCTCTAAGTGATATAAAGAATACTTGGTAAAAAAAAATATTATTAAAAATTATCATTTAAATTTTTTTTTATAAATTAATGATGATAAAAAAATAACATACTAATATTTGGTTTTAAATTTGATATGAAAATATTATGATATAATTAAATAAGATTTTAAATTTGTATTTTATTAATGGTTGATAATTAGAAAATAAAATAAAAATAAATACATTTTTTGAATTTTATATCTTAGATTTAAGATAAATAAATATATTAAGTTAATTAATAATTTACTTAAAATGTTAAAATTTAATTTATAAACATAATATTTTAAAAGGGAAGGGTTATAATAACCAGTGTAACTTTTACTAAGTATTACACCGCTCAATAACTTTATATTAAATGTGAATTTTATAAATTGAACCTTAGATTGAAAGTATTTTACTCTTAGCTCATATATACAAAATTTTATATTAATTCAAAATATTTGATACTTCATTCTTGTAAAACAAAATTGACGTGATATATACATTTCAAAATATACTAAAATATAAACATTTTGATTACCTTCAAGTTTTTGTTCAATTTTAACAAAATTTGATATAAACATATAAAGTGATATGAACTTTCAATCTAACGGTTGGATTTACAAAATTCACATTAAATATAAAGTTATTAAGCAGTGTAATACTTAGTAAAAGTTACACCGGTGTTATTTTAGCCCTTATCATTTTAAAATATATAAATTATTATCTAAACTTTTAAATTTCTAATAAATAATTTAAATTGTATCATAATATTAATTTTAAATAGGAATAAGTAAATTATTGATTATACAAGTAAGTGTATATATATATATAAAGATTAATTAAATATAATATAATTATTATTATTGGTAATATAATTATTATATATATTTTTATATTTTTATAGTGGTCGGGACATACCAAAATGAGAGGGATCCAAAAATAGTATAAGTATGAGATTGTATAGTTGATGATGATTTAAATAAATTAATTTGTACTGCTTATATTGATAACATGCATTTACTTTTTGGTGGCTTATCTCGTCAGAACTCCACAGTTAAACGTGCTTGAGTTGGAGTAATATAGGGATGGGTGACCTTCTGGGATGTTTCCTAGAAAATGTGAAATATGGACAAAACACGTTGAAAAGTGAAGTGTCATGAAATAACATCATTGAGAGGCCAAATATGAGGGTTGTTACATTAATAAATTTATTAAAATTAAACAATTTTTTCGAAGGTTATCTAGGGATAAAATCCGTAGATAACAACTTTCGTGGGTTATCTATGAAAAACTTTTTGTAGATAACGTTATCTACGGAAAAAATTCATAGATAACAACTTTCATGGGTTATCTACGGAAAATTTTCCGTAGGTAACGTTATCTACGATCTTATTACCGACGGATTTTTTTCGGTAGATAATCCGTAGATAATTGACACTTACCTACGGATTTTCATGCTTATCTACAGATTTCTTCCGTAGATAATCCTGATTTTTCTTGTAGTGATTATTGGTATGTGACTTGTTCAAATCGACCTTGGTAATTCTAATGATGTCCCCAACCTCTTCCATGTCCTCAGAAACCACCTCGATAAGTCTGATCACGTTGTATGTATTGCCCGAGTTGTCCTACTTGGATCAGTTCCTCAATCCAATCTTTGAGAGTTTAACATTCTTCCGTTGTGTGTCCATAATTTTTATGGTAATGACAATGTTTACTCTTATCGGCATTGGCCGGGTTGTGTGCCGGTGGGGGCAAAGACATCAAATCTGCATGGTTAGCTTCTTCAAGAATGTTAACCCGAGGAACATTTAATGGTGTAAAAGTCATACCTTAGACCTCGCACTTGACGAGGTCTCTTCACTCTTTGGTCAATTTGTGACCTCAACTTCTCCTTTTCCGCTGGCTTCTCCTTTGGTGATGAGACCATCTCGAACTTGGTTGCAGAACTCAGCATGTTCCTCCATCTGAATATACCCGGCTACATGTGCCCTAAGTTCATCCATACTCGATGGTTGACGTCGACAAAGGCTATCGACGAAGGGTCTTAGTTTTAATGTCATGAGCATGAAGTGTAGAGTGACTTCGGGATTAAGATTATGAATTTTTATGGAAACGTTGGCAAAACGTTCCATAAAGTGCCTTAGAGACGATCATTATCTTGTTGCCACAAGTTGGAAAGTGTGGCTGAAGTGATATGGATGGTGAGGTCTGCTTGTGGCATATTGAGCGGAGAAGAGGCATACCAAGGTGTCAAAATTATCTACCGATCTGGGTGGCAATTGAGTATAACCAACTAAGGGCAGCACCTTTTAAGGAAGTAGGGAATACGCGACACATGATGGCATTGTCATTGGTGTACAAGTTGATTTGGGTGACATACGCATCAATATGCTCGGTGGGGTCAATGGTTCCATCATATCTTTCAATGTTTAACGCTTTCCAGGCAAGTGGGAGAGGGACTTCCATGATACCATCAACGAAAGGATGTCGGTGAACAGAACTGTGATCATATGTGGGATGAACGTGAGTGTGCTCAAATCGATGAGTTTGAACGGGCTTCGAAGGATATGTGTGATCTGGAGAAGAATGATGTTCTTTGTCTGGCGTGGAACATGACTAGTCCGAGGTGTAAGAGGTGGTTGGTGTTGTTGCCAACGAGTTGTAGAATAGCATTTTTAGCGCGCAATTGTTGTAAATTAGCCTCATGTTGTTTGCGTATAGTTTCTATTGTCGCCGTGTGTTGCTGCTGCATCAATTCCACTTTCTCGAGTAGTCGTCGCAAGGTTGCGTTATCTTCCATATGTGACATGTCGCGATGTGCTGCATTTGCTATGTTATGGGTGTGACTTCGAGTTGAAACCATAAGGTCGTCGAAGGAAAAGTTTTACCGGCCCTCCTTCTAGCGCTAAGATATTCTTACTAGGATCAAGTCGACTTCCTTGTTCATCTCTTTGATCTTGGTCTTTGAAGTTGGTATTCGTTCTCTTCACCGTCTCTGATATACATGCAAAAAGGACTTTGCGATCAAGTTAGTTCTTTTTCTCAATATTGTTCATTCCTATATAATTACTTACCCTTTCTCGTTATCGTTCGTTGTTTTCTTATGTAACTGCATAGTCGTTACTTTTCGGGGAGTTAGCAACGGTTAAGTTGGTCATCTCTATACCAAAGTATACATTCGATGTCGTAAGTGTGCCGAGGTCCATGCTCGATATCATAAGTTCAATTTGGTTTTTTATTCCGAGATATTCGTCCTTTGCTCTCCCTCTAGAGGGTGGAGTTGTAGGTTCAACTTAGTCATCTCGATCGTGAACTAGGTTGGTACAATATATGTTATAAATGATTCGCATATCAATAGTGTAAGAATTATACATTTTTTATATTGGTAACAAACACAAAACATTATATAAGACAAGTTTATTGATTTTTATAATAAATATATTTAAAGTCATATACAAATAATTTTTAATCAATCAATAATATAATTTTTTTATAGTAGAAATATAGGATTAAACTCGTTTTTTTAAATAAATTTTAAGCACCAACAAATTGTGCCAAACTTATTTAAATCTATTTTGTAAAAAGAAATATTTAAATCTACACTCTTTTGTGCATATGGATGGACTTTGAAGTGGAAAAGAAGTCTCGAGTAAAATTGATTTTCCTTCCTTATATGCCCCTCCT